CTATAAGGGGAACACAACTATATGATGGGTATGTAAAGGGAACACAACTATATGATAGGTATGTAAGAGGAACACAACTATATGATGAGTATGTAACGAGAACACAACCATATGATGGGTATGTAACGGGAACACAACTATATGATGGGTATGTAACGAGAACACAACTATATGATGGGTATGTAACGGGAACACAACTATATGATGGGTATGTAACGGGAACACAACTATATGATGGGTATGTAAGGGGAACACAACTATATGATGGATATGTAAGAGGGAACACAACTATATGATAGGTATGTAACGGGAACACAACTATATGATGGGTAGGTAACGGGAACACAACTATATGATAGGTATCTACACACGCACGCGCACACACGCACGCACGCATGAATGCATGCACACACACGCACACACACGCGCGCGCGCACCCACACACATGCACACACACACGCAGGCACACACACACACACACACGCACACACACACACACTCGCGCGCGCGCACACACACACNACCGTCTTGCTGCCTATCCTGTTTCTGTCGTTCTCTCTCTGCCCCCATCCCATCATTATTTACCCATCCATCTATAAGAATCAAGAACCCGAGGCTATCTGATCGCGTACCAGTTAGTGCCGGTATAGTAGAATGAGTAAGGTGTTCTCAATCTAGTGGCTCCACTAGGTTTGCTTTCCTGCTGACACTGCTGCTGTATGCCCTGCGAGAGACGAGAAATATATATATATATATACAATGAATAAATAAATGTATATATATTATATCAATAATTTATCATTAATTATTATCAATTATATTATATGATCAATTATACGCAATTAATCATCAAATATTTGTCGGGCCTACACCATCAGAATAGTAAGTTATCTTTTTAGGAATAATATTAGTAGTAAATACGAATGCTACCAGGAGTGATTTGATATATGTTATGTCACGTCTACTTCTACTTCTACTTCTACTTATACTTATACTTCTACTTCTACTTCTACTTCTACTTCTACTTCTACTTCTACTTATACCTGTCACTCACCAAATACAATATAGACAAGTGTATGTAGGAATATATAATCACCAGATACAATATAGACAAGTGTATGTAGGAATATATAATCACCAGATACAATATAGACAAGTGTATGTAGAAATATATAATCACCAGATACAATATAGACAAGTGTATGTAGGAATATATACTCACCAAATACAATATAGACAGGTAGAAGTAGAAGTAGAAGTAGAAGTGGCATAACATATATCAAATCACTCCTGGTAGCATTCGTATTTAATCCATTTCTCTAATCACCAACTTTTTTCAACTCTTCGTTCGCGTTTTTGATTTTTCTCCCTGTTTTTTTTTGTATTCCATCAGATGTCGACGTTGGAAACACAGCACTGTCTGGCCAGCAATCGATTCACACCGCTCAGCTTCCAGCATGCGATAGACTGCAATCCATTCACGCACGGCTGTGAAGGAGGATGGCCTTATGATGTCTACTGGTGGCTGTACTACACTAATGCTACCATCAACGAAGCTGATTACGGATATCAGGTAAATATATATATATATGTATATATATATATTAGACAGGCGTATGTAGAAATATATACTCACCAGATACAATATATACGGATGTATGTAGGAATATATAATCACCAAATACAATATAGACAAGTGTATGTAGGAATATATACTCACCAAATACAATATAGACAAGTGTATGTAGGAATATATATCATTTACGAAAATCTTTAACAGATTTTTCACTAAAAAAATCCACAAAGGATTTCTACAAGACTCACTTATCTCCCTTTTCTCCATTTCAAAAAGGGTTTTCATGTGAGAACACATTACTCACATTTCATCAGCTCATTATTATCGACAATCTGATTACGAATTTCGAAACGAGGCCTATATCGAATACAAGAGCATATAAACAAATCAAAGCGTTTCGAATTTTGAATTAAGGCTTTTGGGATTTCGTAGAATTTTTTTAGTGTTTTACATAGACTGGTCCGCGCTCGACAGTTACACTCACGTAACGCAAGTATGTCGAGCCCAGACCAGTCCACGTATTTTATCGGCAGTTGCTGTGCACTGATTGTTTATTTCGCATTGCTCGCTTGATTGTTTGCTTGGACGCATTGTTTTCTTCAGTGTTGTTTTTTTGCAGCTCGCAGCTCGCAAATACGGCATTTCTGGAGCCGCGAAACAGCGTGTGAACGCTCGGTCGCGTATTTGTCTCAGAATCGGTATTTCGCAAATAACGAATTTTATAAATGCAGAGTCTCGTGTGAACGCAGCTATTATTAAAATACGCGGCTTCAGAAATTTGGTATTTAGCGTTCACAGGAGAGAAATACGCGGCCCAAGAGATTCGGAATTTCTTAAGCACGGCAAATAATTCGGCATCTGGGAAGCCGCGTATATCAACAAATACCGAATCTATTTATATTTCGTATTTCTTGGACCGCGCATTTTGCCTCGTGTGAACGCTAAATACCGAATTTCTTGCTACGTGTGAAGGCGGCTAATGGAACGAGCATTCTTAAGCAGCATGTTTAGGAACAATGTTTTTGGGGTCGTCATGCAGAATATTTAGAGGTTGTTTGGAATGTTTGGGGGATCGTTACATTGAGCTGTGTGGCCTTCGAGGCGTGAGGTCAAGGGGGCCATTATAACACTTACCGTTGCGACGGCGTAGCAGCAACCGCAGAGACCCTGAAAGCACAGAGAGAAGAAATTATTGTTAGTTTTTACTGTAACATAGAAGAACACAAGGTTTGAATGAAAGAATTTACAGTAAAATATATCAAGACGAAGTATAATATTTGTGTTCATGTAAAGATATATATTGTTTACAAATACTACAGGTCGTTACCGGTACACGCTATACTTTCCAGTCTCCCAGTCCAAGTCCCTGTCTCTCTCCGAAAACTCTATTTATATTCAAATTCCCACCAATCACAAAACAATCTAAACTCTACCCAGCCAATCAGGCACGACTACCATTCCTTTGTTCTCCTGGTTCGCGCCAAAACCACATGTGCATTACACAGGTATGCAATCTGCCCAGACCTGTCTAGACTAATATTTCTAACCTACATGGTATACTGACTGACTCTACCCATATTCTAGGCTATTTACAGCTAAGCTATCTACAATTACTAATGTATATAACATGTGTAAAACACATGTTACATTTACCTCCCCCTTCTTCAAAACGATGATCAGATCATCGATTCAGCGCCCCGCTAATCTAAATTCTTCTTCTTCTTCTTCTTGATTTATTTTACTCTAAATGCTTTCATTCAAACCTTGTGCTCTTCTATGTTACATTGTGGTGCTCGTGACAGTTTTGAATCGGGTTTTGCAAACAACGTACAAGGTACAGTACATTCTATATCGATCTACGGCCATCATATCACCGGCTAAAGACTCGATCAGACATGTACA